ACGTTATCTGTGATTAATTGCCTACAGATTTACAGATCCGATATCAAAAATGCCTGGATATAACATTGGTATATGCTTAATGATTATCTTGTCCTGTTATTTGGTTGTTATTATCTTTTTATCCTCTGTTAGATTACTGTCGTAATAAATTACACTTAAACAAAATGATGTATGTTTGTTTGTTTGTTTGTTTGTTTGTTTGTTTGTTTCATCTTCACGTTGTAACGGCTCAACCGATTTGAGCGAAACTCGGAATGCAGATAGTTTATATTCTGGTTTAAAACACTATTTTTATAGACAAATCTAATAAGTGAACCTCTGAGCAAAAATTAAGTAAAAAATATAGCAAATACATATATAAATCAACATATCATATTTTTATGTCAAAACTGTAATCTTGTAATTAAAACAAAATAGAACCCGCTACCAACTAAAGGTTCTTGAAAGCTCATTATATAATTAAAATGTACATGGAGATAAGATTGCTTTGCAAATAAAAAACAAACTCTTTATGGTGTGTCGAGTGCCATACTAATTATATATCGGTCTTAATCAATCAATAATTAACACTATTAAATCACTTACATATATGAGCATTGGTATGTTAGTTCTGACCGTACATTTCCTTCCAGAAGACTTATACATCACTTTTTACTGCCACAATAGAAAAGAAAATGTAAAAACTCTTGGCGCAATTTATTTACAATTTTATACTTGTGTTTTAGAATGCTACTCACAATCTTTGAATAGCAGAACAAAGCTAACTAATAATACTATATATATATATATGTTTCTTCGCGTGTATCTCCTAAACTACTTAACCGATTTTGATACGGTTTTCGGTATCATGTAGAGAATTTATTTATCAAGATTTAGTATCAAATCATAAATCCCAAGCAAAACCAGGATTGCTAATGGATTTGATTTATGTAAACCTGCTATACATTAATAAGTGAGTAATGAATCTTATTCATAGTACATAATGAATTACATCATTTTCTTATGAGTTAACAAGCATTGTGTTGCAATAAATATCAGTTTAGGCATTATTTATATTGTTGTTAGCTGCCATTTAAGTTATTTGTAAATCTTGTCTTTACTTTGGATAATTGACACTACATTACTTTGATTCACAGTTGAAATATTACTCTTTTCATGTCCATATGATCTATTTATATCTGTACATATAATAAAATTCTAAGTCGAATCTGTACATTCGATATTTTTTGGAGTATTTGTTTGAAATAGTCATTATTATTGATACAGAAGCCGAATCTATGTATAGTTTTTAGAATTATTGTCTGTTTGTCTATCTCTCTGTCTATCTGGGAACGCATCAAGAGAAAACCACTGGACAGATTTTGATTCAATTTGGTATGATGATAGCTGGTTATTCGGGTCAACATATAGGATACTTTTTAATGCAAGAAAATATCTCATCTCTGAGAAATCTATACTAAACGTTCAAACGTAACTATGGACGAACCCGAGCGGAGCGAGGGTGAGCTGCTAGTATAATAAATATTTAAATTAAAAATATGGTATTATAAAATTATGAACACAATACGTATAGTATATTTTGATGAAATTTTATCAAAATCGTTAAAGCAATTTCGCTATACGATTATATACATTGCAATATTATTACAAATGTAACGTAACTTATAATACGCGTAATAACTTAATTATAAATCAGCTCGTTTCTTGTTTGACGACAAATTAATACCAATTACATTCTCTTGTAAATAACTATGTTAAATGTCGCTTATAATACGTTTTATTATATGTATTTTTATTTATGTATGTATGTTCGTCTTGGCACAGCCGGATGCAAAAAGTGACAGGTATGAATATTTTAGTCCCTACTATTATTATAAAATATATTAAAAAAATAGTAAAATATAAATAAATAAATATAAATATGTTGGGACATTAACACACAGCACCTCTAGTTCCATGGAAAGCTATGAGCTTCGAGGTTTGTGTTATGGATACCAGATAGTTGATAAACTACACATATATAACTTTAATTACATACATATTATAAATATATACATACATCCATGACACAAATGAACTCGAACCCGCGACCGCTGGCACAGCACATAGGGCCAGTACAAACTGAGCAAAACGTGTCATCAAATAACTAATAGAGATACTATAAGCATAACAATATTTAAACTCAATGGTCCTTTATAAAAAAAATTGAAGCAAAATACAATCTATCGATTTTCCCATTCACAAAATGACATCAAATGATGGCTGGAATACGAGGGTAATACTAACAAAGCTCTCAATGCAAGGGGTCCCGAAGTTATCGCACTCTCCTCCATATGTGAGACTTTCATTCTAAGGGGCAGAAACAACGGAAATTCCCGGGGCAAATCATTTACACTTTTAATTTAGTTGGTCTTAATGTATGCGAATAATGTATAGGGGGCCTTCGAGGGGCCATTTCGAGATCTTAAATGATTTTGGGTTGTGGCGTGGATTAAATTTACATTTGCTTTCAAGCTCTTTGGGAGAGTTAGATATTTGAGATATTTTTTAGTAATAATAACGCCTTACTACATATATGCTTTATAATGACTGTCTCTAGAAATATTAATAATTTGTCTGTAATTGTATCTAAGTTATGTTTAATTTTAGTTTAAAATATTTATTTCTTAAATAAAGGGTATCAAATTAAAAAAAAAACATTCTACTAATACATTTTTTCTTATTTACTAATAAATCTTTTCATCAGCTTGAGCCATTTTATAAGATTGTATGTAGGTACTTCATATTGAAATTTAATTTTTTTTGAGCAATATCGGGATTTAGGAAATTTTGCGTTTTCGCAAGGTTTTACTAGCTTTTGAAAAAAAGGGCTGAGTCCTGAAAAAAAATGCCGAAGAAAACTCAGCAGAGCTTTTACATATTTAGTTTTAATATCTAAAATCATTATCATTTAAGCTTTAAACATATAGTATGAGTGTGTAGTGTGTACTGTTGTGTTGTACTCGCGCTAAGGCGACAAAATTTTTCTTGGATAGCTGTTCTATTTTTAAATGCTCTTCAAAAGCTCTTAAAAAGGCTACATATAAAATAATCTAAACAATAGTCGAATCTGTACATTAAATATTTTTTGGAAAATCTTATTAAAGTAGTAATTATTATCAATACAGAGGTTGAATCTATAGTTTTCAAGAATTTTTATCTATCTGTCTGTCTGTGAACGCATAACGAGAAAACTACTGGACAGAATTTGATGAAATTTAGTATAATGATAGCTGGTTATCCGGGTCAACATATAAGATACTTTTACTGCAATAAAATATCTCATCTTTGAGAATTCTATACTAAGCGTCAAAACGTAACTAGGGACGAACCCAAGGGCGAGTCACTAGCTACATATTATAATAAAGTATAAAGAAATATTAAATTAACACTGGTTCCGTCTTGTATAACAATATAAGCCTACCCTCTCCTAAATAGTTATCACGTAAGGGTGGCACACTTGATAGTTTCACTCCCCAGTCACTCCAGGTCCATACATTATGCAAATCCGCTAGTGATATGTCAGTACTCTTGGGAGGTTTATTGTTGTTAAGTTTATCCTACCATTGAGTTAGCTTTAATTAAATTTGAGACGCATTTGTAGATCATTTACTGTTTGTTTTGATTTATATAGAGCGTCACCTGGGTTGAGATTTTGGGGGTCATGTTTTTTTTATATTTGCCAACTAGCTTATGCCCGCGTCTCTGCTCGTTTTATATATAATTTCGTTATTTATTAGTAATGTTAGAAAGCTTAAAAGCTTTTTAATAATTGGATTGTTTTATGTAAAAAGATATTAGAAGATCAATTTGAAACATTGATCTTCTACTATCAAAGATAAGCTTATTAAATCAAGGAAATAAGTACGAGTATGTTGGGACATTAACACACAGCACCATCTAATTCCATGGTAAGCTACGAGGCTTGTGTTATGGATACCAGATAGTTCGTACACTACACATATATAACTATAATATTATGAATATAAACACCCATGAATGGAGTACAAACTTTCGTGCTCATCACACAAATGAATGCCTCCACCGGGACTCGAATCCGCGACCGTTGGCACAACAACTAGGGTCACTATAAACTGAACCAAACGTGTCGTCAAATTATAATTCAATTTTATAATTTTCCTTTAAACATTCTATATTTTCGCAAAACACAATCAAAATCATTCAGCCATTATGTTATTTTGCTGTGCACTGTTTTTCTTATTAATAATAACGTAACGTAGTAAACGAAAATATCCGTAACAATTGGATATTGTTATATCTAGATTATTCTTATAATTTATGAGTAATAAATGCTAAAAAAAATATGTCATGAGTTTCACCTCGATTTTACATACTATTATTGTACAATATGTGACTCGCCATTTGAATGGCCCTTAGAAAACTGTGAATTTCTCTACATTTACGCTTGAAACATAATATGTACTTAATCAATTATTTAAACTTTTTTTTTTCAAAATATAAAAATCAGTCAAGTGCGAGTCGAATTCGCACACAAAGTTCCTCTTCTCTTCTTTCTTTATATATATTTTTATTAGTTGTTGTTGTAGCGGAAATGGAAACACTCTTTGAAAATTTCAACTCTTTACCTACTACGGTTCATGAGATACAGCCCTCTGACAGACGGACGGATAGACGGACGGACTATTATATATACATATATACTAATTACTACTATTTTATTATTATTTCTACATATTACTTAATAATATTTAAGACGTTTTAATAAAAAAAAATGTTTCTACGTGTATTACGTGTTTTATTTAATAATTCTAGATTATCATACATTAAGTCCATACAAATACCAATACTCTATCCCCATACAGAAAAAACACCCTAAAATTAAAACGAAATTCTTTAAATATTAATGAACATTCCCATATAATCCCACCCATCAACAAATGGAATTAAACGTTTGTCAATATCTAAATCTTATTTTTCAGAGCAACCCCTACGCTTTGAAGGAAGGTGGTGGAGAGATGTCTGCTTGGACATCAGCTGGCTTGCAGCCCTCTGGGGGTTACTACCCCTACGATCCAACTCTCGCTGCCTATGGGTAAGTTATCCCATACAATTTTTAAGCTCGCGTAAAGCTTTGCGAAGGGCGTCCAAATTATGCACATGCGTTAACTAAATGACTACAATTTTCTAAATTTGATATTTTATTTTTAATTAACTGGAGCTTTTTAGGGGGCTTTATAGTTTATATGTTTAATTTTAAAGACGTTTGGAATGTGAATAAAGGACTTATCAATTCTTAGTAGACGGGCTATATATATATATATATATATATATATATATATATATATATATATATATATATATATATATATATATATATGTGTATATATATATATATTTTAAAAGCTCGAAAATTCGGTATATTTGTAAATTAATAATTAATAACTAACAGGCTCATATTATTATGGAATCGAATAAAACCATAATAATTTATTCACGTATTAGTTTTGAAACTTTATTTTTACATTCTTTAGTAAAATTTGTAAATATAACGATTTTTTAATAAATATTTCAACATCTTCATGGAAAGATTTAAAATAATATAACTTTTCATATCCTTAATGAAAACTTGGCAAATATGTAGGTATGCATATTTAAAAATATATATAATTATTATGTTTTGTAGTAGTTATTAGCGACTTACTCTCGCTTCGCTCTGGTCCTGTGTAAGTTTTAAATTTTGTTGAGTGAAACTCGATTTTTTTGAAATAAAAGTAGCCTTACTTTACTACTTACGTTACCTTACTTACTTACGTTACTTTTTATAATATCAGCTATCTGCCAATGAAAGTCCCGTTAAAATCAGTTCAGCCGTTTTGGAGCTTAACCGGAACAGACAGATAGATAAAATTTTAAAAATTGTGTTTGTCTTGTAAATACTGTATATAATTTCATATGCATTTAGTAAGAAGCTGTTATTTTGAGATTACAAATAGACACTTTAATTTTATTTATCTGTATAGATATCGATATAATGTTATACTCTTACATGTGTTGACCGCAGTGAGGCTAGACTCAGACAGAAAATGAAATTAAAGTATAATGAAGATAATTCATCGACAACATCAAACTTATTATTTTTAGTTTAAAAATGTTTCTCCTATCAAAAACTTTTACTTACGTTTAGTTACAAATTATAATGTTGTCTATACATATAATAAAACAATCGAATCTGTACATTAAATATTTATGAAAAATTTATTGAAATCGTCATTATTATCGATCCAGAGGTACGAATCTATAGTTTTTTTAGTTTTTGTACGTCTGTCTGTGTCTGTCTGTCTGAGAACGTATCACACGAAACCACTGGACAGATTTTGGTGACATTTTGTATGATTATAGCTGGCTATCCGGGTCTACGTATAGGATACTTTTTACTGCGGGAAAATATCTCATCCTTGAGAAATCTATACTAAACTTCAAAACGCACCTAGGGTTAACCCGAGCGGAGCGAGGTTGAATCGCTAGTATTAAAATAAATCTCCACGTCTCAATACTTTTTTAAATAAAAAAAAACTTACCAAAGATAGAAACTAATATAATCTTTCAAATTAAAATTTTTTAACACGCAACTTTGGTTTTGCGTGCACGTCGGACTCAATTTTCTTCTCCCTCGCACTTATATAATTAGCAGGGTGTAAAAAAGAGACAAATGATTTGAGCTATACTGATTAATTCAGCTTTTCTTCGAAACACGACCGATGTTTTTCATATTTAAGTCTCTGCAAACCTATCCATTTGATGATTTTTACATTACATTGGAGTTTTTTAAAGGAGTGGTGGTTAATGTCACGAATAATAACTTAATTTTAGTATTTACACTTGAAATTCTAGAGATTTTATAATAGTGTTATAATTTCAAACAATAGTAAGCCCTACTGAAACATAATTAATATTTTTCTATAAAAAATGCTTCTAAAGCCATACATACATGTGTTTCGATATTAAAATTAGATAAATTGATATTCATAACGCATTTTAGTTACGAGTATATAAGTGGTAAGCACACTGACGACTTCGCTCGAGTTCGTCCCTAAGTACGTTTCAAAGCTTAGTATAGATTTCTTAGAGATGAGATATTTTCGCACAGTAAAAAGTATCCTATGTTGATCCGGATAACCAGCTACCATCGTACCAAATTTCATCTAAAACAGTCAAGAGGTTTTCTCTTGATGCTTTCACAGACAGACAGACAAAATTTCTAAAAACTATAGATTTAGCTTCTGTACCGATGACAATGATTATTTTAATAAGATTTTCCAAAAAAATATTTAATGTACAGATTCGACCCACAATTTTATTGTATAGATAAGATTTATGTTTATAATAAATAATATACTTATTAGCCTCAAGCGGGAACAAACCCGTGATATATCAAATAGTATCATAAAAATTGGTCCACAACTGTTAAAAATGATATGTAATAGACAGTAAAACTACACAGTATACCCAAATAGAACACCTCCTCCTTTTTTGACGTCGGCCAATAAACAAAAGCGTGCTCGTAAACCTAGTAGATGTATAACGGAAATAAATAATAATATAAAACTCGATACCGAAGTGTCATAACATTAAAATTATATAAAGCCCTCACTTAAAGACCAGGTTACACTTGAAAATGTCTCAAGCCATGAATCACAGCAGAAGTGGTTCCAAATAAAAACAAATCATTGTACATCAAAGTGAAGTTATGCTGACAATTCGGCCGCCCCACAAAATATATGGCGGTCGAAGAGCTATAATCTAAAAATAATTAGAAATAACATTAGTTTTTGAGCATAAAAAAGACAGTGATAGTGTACGGAAATACCTACTGATATATTGCTGTCTCACAATTGTTTTATTATATAGGGTGCTCCATATCTTCTCAGTGAGAGTGGTTATAGACGATTATAGAAAACGTGTGTTATAGAATGTTTTTTTAGTCTTATTGGTTAAGTCAAAAATTAACAACGCAGATATCGAATCTACGACCTTTTAAATACAAACGACAATCTCTTAAAAACAGTAAATAATTATAAAATCTGCCGGAAAAATATGAAAAACAAATAAAAACAAACGAAACGAACAGCGAATTATTCATTCGTTTGCAAATATTGTGGACGCAAATAAAATTATTATATTCGTATAAAAGGGAAATCTTTGTGAGAGTCACAAAACGATGTAATAACTTAGATGGGAAATAAAACAGTGGAAGCCGTGGAAAGAACAACACGGCAGTGTACAGTCGACGCAATATTTAGGTCTGCCTATACAAACCACGCCCGCGTTGCCGAAATGAAAATTTACCCAAGCTATTTTTAACAAGTTACGTTCAAAAATTAGAAAAATGAGACTTTAGAAGTACTCGTGCCGCGCCATCGAGTTCAAAATAAGCAGGAAATTACGCCGGTCCCGGCTTGACGAGTTTTATTTGTATAACGATTTGGGTTTTAACGCTTTAAATAAACCGAATAAAGTTAACGGGCGGTTCTAAATTGTACGTTTTTTTAACTAAAATTCGTTCAATTGAGCTTGAATGTAAATAAATGGATGATTAGTTAGTTTATTTATGTTAATGTTTGTAAGATTTTGTAAGTACCGGAAGCTGTTTTTTGTAGGAATCGATTTTTAGGTATTATATATAGATTTGATTCAATGATCTGAGTTTAAATGCTATATAATATATATAAAGCTAAGTTGCTATAAGAAAATAAATATTATTATATTAGTTTTCCAAAAATATTCAAGTTTAAAAGCTTCTTATACTAAAAATTAAAACAAAAAATTGTCTCAAAAATCTAAATTTCTCCAAAATACATAACCAATAAATGTCAATTAAAAACCAAATTGTGTTGTAAATAACAAACTACAAACCGATATACTCATTCATATTCAATGGAACATAATACTGTCTCGTTTCGAGACTCGGGAATAATCAAATAATTGTCGATGTAAAGCATTCGGTGTTGCGATTCCTAATTCTAATCCATCCCCCAGGGAGGGTGCGGGTGGGGGTGTTCGAGGGGTTGCTATGTAATACATAGGGTGCACGTAGGCCACAAGCCTCGATACTGATATCGGATTGAGCATGCTTCAATATGTACTTGTACCGCCCGCCCGACCACAGTGGTTTTCAAATACCTATTACAGATAGAATTTTTTGCTTATTAAGGGATTTGGTTATTCGTTTCTTAAAGGGAGTGCTTATAATATAGCTTTATATTTATATCTATACGTATAGTTAAATTCTGAGTCGAATCTGTAGATTAAATATTTTTTGGAAAATCTTATTGAAATAGTCATTATTTCGATACAGAGGCCGAATCTACTGTTTTTAGAATTTTTGTCTGTTTGTCTGTCTGGGAACGCATCACGAAAAAACCGCAGGATAGATTTTGATAAAATTTAGTATGATGATAGCTGGTTATCAGGGTCAACATATAGGATACTTTTATGGGGGAAAATATCTCATCTCTGAGAAATCTATACTAAACTTTAGTAGTGCGTAATTTATATTATTCGTTTAGTGCGTGTTCCATATGCTGCTAATATTTGTGAAGCCTAAATAATAACTTAGTTTGGCATTTCATAAGTTCTTATTAGGATGAATGCTATTAAAAAAAAGTCAATGGAAATTTAAAATATGAGAAGATATTAAATTCTATACGTAATTAGTCACAAGTAGGCTAATTATTAAATGTCATTTAAATAGTTTAAAATATATGGAAATAAAAAAAAAACATCCAAAAATATAATGTACAAAATAGAATAATATTAATAAAATGGTTATTTTTATAAATCTAACTATCGCTATGTAAATATTTTTTTAAGGTTTTTAAACGTTTTTTTCATTAATTGCTCAGATAAATAATGTAAAAATATACTTTACCGTATTTAATTTTTTTTTAAATACGTCGGGGAATTAAAAAAGATATCCTTATATTATACATAGATGATATTCAGATATATTTAGTGGTTAATTATTTAGTGTCATAAATCACTCAAGTTTTCTATTACATACATTTTTTAATTAATTTTTACTCTATAATATATGCTCAGATTAAAAAATTAAACAGAGAGAGCCCGAAAAAAAATTTAAAAGTCATTTAAAGTTATTTAATGTTTATGTTATTATTCTCAATCTTACCATTCAGATTGTTTACTTTCTTTAAATGATAATGAATGAATGAATGAATGAAGGAATGAAATAAAGATATACGTAGATTTTTTTACGCTGACCCATCAAATGGCTTCCGTAGGAAATGAGCATATTGCAAAAATCTAGGGGTCAGTATTATTTTATGAAGCCATGTTATGTTAGGTATTATATAACATAAATTAAGTGGTAATTTAGCAGCAGTTCAATACTTATAGGTAAACTAGCGACTCACCTCACTCCGCTCAGGTTTGTCCCTAGATACTTTTTAACTGTTAGTATAGATTTCTCAGAGATGAGATATTTTCCCGCAATAAAAAGTATTGTATATGTTGGCCCGGATAACCAGCTATAATCATACCAAATGTCATCAAAATCTGTCCAGTAGTTTTCTCGTGATGCGTTCCCAAGCAGACAGACAGACTAAAAACTATAAATTCGACTCGGTTAGAATTTTATTATATGAATATTTTTGTTTAGTAGCTGTTCACGAGCTCTAGTTTTATCAATAAAAAAATCAGTTAATTCATACCTATATTTTTTCCTCAAATTTTCAATAATAGGCGAAAAATACTAAAGTGTAAAAACGTGCAATAACAATTTTGCTTAGAAACTTAATATCGGATACACGGTAGTATAGTAGAAAATATCTCGCATACAAATACAAAAGCATATGTACATTGTACATATAAATAACCTTAAAATATTTTTTTCGTTAAAATTAAATACAAAATTGGATTTATTATTCCGGTATATATACCTACTCAAAGTTCCCTGGGGGATGTTGTATAGTTATTTTTTCCTAAATTAGATGGATAGAAAGACATATACATACTTCTAATTTATATATAAAGTATTTATAGTTATAGCCATATTATAAGGGCAATAAGCATCAAAATACCTGTTTTTGAATTTCTTAAATTTGCTTAGAAAACGTCTGAAAGTACTCACAATTTCATCTTTGCTAAATAATACATATTAAATATTATATGTGCATCAAATGCTAAATATATTAGTATTCATAATAAATAAATAAAAACCTCTTGTATCTAGTAGTAAAATTTAATGTGTACACATCCACAAAGAGTAAATAATGACACAATATTTTTTTTTAAATCTTTCCCATAAATAGCAAACGCTTAGACGTTTTTTTACATTAAAAAACCCAAATATCCTATAATTTCTACGAAACTCCAAACTTATTACAAAATTAATTCATGGCGACGTAAAAAATCGTTTGTTTACTCTTTAGTGGCGTTTACGTCGTTTTACGCGGCATTGAAAGGCGCGAGTGGACTGCCTAAATTAATTAGAGGGTTTATTGTCCCACGCAGCGGCTTTCAAGCGCTGATAACCGATTTCTCACAGTAAAGCCGTTTAGTATCAAGCGCTGCATTTTACGTTGTAACCGCTGTCTTCACTTGGCGTACATTTCTGAAGAGCTTATTCGTGTAAAACTAAAGCGCTTCGGTTTTAGCGGCTTTGTGTGGATACGCCTTTGTCAAATACATTAAATACGTTCATGCGCTTTTGGTTGAATGTCCTTTTTAATTCTGTTACATGATTCGTTCGAAATGTTTTATTTATTACACCGTTTGAATTAAAAACTAAAAAGAAGTTATACGGGAAATTAACAAAGAGCTCGCGCTTGGCTAAAATGCTAACATTCGAAAAATAAATCCATTCAATGTTAACACCAAACTAATAATTATTATATGGCGATAGTCTTGATATTAATAACTTTTTTGAAATTCGATCGCATCGTTTGTAACCGGTGTCCAAGATGGCGTCTATCGATCGTGTACTTACGCCCATACACTACCCACGCTTGCGCTGCACCGCCCTGATGCAACGAGGTGCAAAATCCCGCCCCACTAACTGACTATCGTTATCTTTTTCACTTGTTTTTATTTATTAGCACTTATACTGCCAATTACTGACAAGTAGTGTAAATAGTGTACCACATAAGATTTTTTTACTCAAACCTCATACATATGCGGATACTGTCTATTTAATAGCAATAGCAATACTAAATCAAAGCTTCACAACGCCAACAAATGATTTCGCTCGCAAATCTTATTCGCATCACGTGCAAAACGTCGATCAGTGCTCTTGAACAGTAAACCCTGTAACCGCCGCACAGGGTAGCAATTTGCGTGTACACAAAACGGTCCGGGACCATTTTTTAACTATTTTCACGCGCGGAACCTATTTATTGGGCCCTTTAGACCGCGCCTTTGTCATGTCGAGAAAATCGAAGTCAGGTACGCGTTGCCTGGGGGAATGATTTCGCCACAATTACGTTCAGAATACGGATGCAAATGGGACCAGGGTCTTAAAAACTGCTCTCGATGCTACGAGTGTACTGCTGTAAGCCTTTATTTCTGCTGTGAGTTTATCTATCGCCGCAAATAAAACGCCTATCTGTTACGAATTGAAAAGTCCTTTTATTGAACGTGAACATTTCGACGTATTTTTGTCAACTCTAAATGTTTGTTAAATTGGAACTGTTTGGAATGTTTTCTTTATAACCGCCATTTCTGTTTGCCCCCTTTTAAGCTTTACAAGTTTTTATATATTTATAACATAATTGTTATTTATATATTTATATATTTATAAGCAGCCTGCAACTTAATTTTATAATACAATATAATTATCCAATTTCTTTTAAAATATGCGATTCTTATTGCAATTTAATTTTGCGAATTCGTAAAAGGCCAGAAGCGTAAATTTTTAGGTGTATGGATAAAATTATGTTTGTCAACAGATATGGTGCTGGGTACGATTTAGCCGCGAGGCGGAAAAACGCGACGCGGGAGTCTACCGCGACGCTAAAGGCTTGGTTGAACGAGCACAAGAAAAATCCTTATCCCACTAAGGGTGAAAAAATAATGCTGGCAATCATAACAAAGATGACGCTAACTCAAGTATCCACGTGGTTTGCCAACGCGCGCCGACGCTTGAAAAAAGAAAATAAGATGACATGGGAGCCCAAAAACAAGACGGACGACGACGACGACACGATGCTCTCCGACGAGGAAAAGGAGCAGGACGATAAAATAAAACCTAACAAAGGTTCGTTGAGTTCGATCCCTTTCCCAGCATCTATCAGTCAATTTCCCGGAGCGGTTTTATTTCATACCTGCCATTCAGCGGCGGATTGACTGTGGGATGCTGTTTTCAATGCTTCAGCGCTATAATATATTGTTTCAAAGCGAATGTTACAAATTGTATTGTTGCATATGCGAATCTGCTAACCTATGTTCTAAATGATGCGTATACAAGACAGTGTTAAAATTGCTTTAATTTTGTCGGTGTATAAATCGAGTGAATTGGCATAACCCGGTCGAGGGCCGGAGGGTGAAACCGGGGGAGGTAGGGAGGGCGTGTGGTGAGGAGTGAGAGGAGGGTCTCAGGCGTGTTACAGTGCGTAACCGCTCCTCGCTACCGGATTTCCTATTTGTACTAAAGTGGGCGGCGCCAGTTCAAATTTCATATAACACTTCTTCCGTAGGTACCGATGTTTTCAGCTTGTCAGACGATCTACCCTCAATTCTTGGCAAGAATTTGTCTAATTCAAGAATCTCATGAGATATCTGGATGTTAACGTTTACGGTTTGCAATAATGCTTCGTATATTTCTATCGTGTTTGATTTTTAATGTGTTTCGTCATAAAATGCAGGCGTAGGGACGTGTGCGGTATTTGCTGCGGTTGTCAACAGCATAAATTAGAAGTCATTGTTACTGCGGTAGGCCTGGCCTGTTTGTATCGAGCGTCACGGCTTAATGCATAGGAGGGTGTCATGGTAACAATCGCCATACGCTGCGTAATGAAGTCCACTTTGCAGATAAGTGCACTCGCAGCCTCCAACGCCGCTCGAGGCGATAAAATGTCATACAATAACAAGCGTAGATGTTAAAAGAAAATTTTTAGTGGGGTAGCATTTGTTCTGATATCGAAATTTGGGAATAATACCTACTTATTTTTAGATTTGATACGACTTTGTGTGCGTGCAATAATAATAATACTTAAAAAAAATCCCATTACTACTGTACGAAAAAAAATGATAAGTTTAAAGTTAAGAAAAATCTGGAAAATAGGTAAAATTTAACACATTATTTCTAAGTAGCACACGAAATCCATTCGATTTTATTTCACAGTGTACGTAACTCCATATTAAAAATAAAATATATCAATAATTCTGTTTCTAACAAACTTGTAATTGTATGATTTAAAAATCTAATATTATAGGGCTTGTACAGTGCTTTATAAAACGATTCGTATACGTTTAAAAGTTTAAAAGCTTTATAAAATAGAATATAAAGTTTCTTAATTATGCATTGCTGTAATAAATATGGTAGATTATCGACACTGTTTTCAAATATGGAGATTGTAGTAAATAAAATCTATTACATAAATGCAAGTTAAATATCTGACTTGATATGTTTATTATGAAAGCTCTAACTTAAAAGGCTTGGTGTCATATAAATCGTAAGCATAACATGAAAAGGTGCAACACTTGTTTTTAACAAGTACGATTTTTCTTATATAAAATTGTAATATAGTGACTGATATATGTGAACTGTATCACTCTATTAAGTTTTATAATATTAGAAATGTTCGAGTTCGACTTCGAGTCATTTTAGTGTAGATAACTAACTACTACTAGTCAATATATATATATATATATATATATATATATATATATATATATGTAGGTATATAAAAAACATGACGAAACTTAAAATTTATCGTTATCGATATGTATCGGTAACAATGTGAAGTATAAACATTACTTAGTCTGTTATAAAAAAAAAGTTATAAATCAATAATCATATATCATAAATCAAATAATCGATAAATAATTAAAAAGTTTTAAAGCTAGCAATACACAAAAAGCTCTTAAGCCGAAACATTGCTTTCGAGTAAAAATATGAGCTTTCGTTGTTAAAAACGGCTACGGCACCCCACGGATTAAAGGCACGCGCCGCGAGATTTCCACGCCTTCGAAATTGTGAGAAATTATAAAGTGTAGACGCACTTATAATTATAAGTATTAGCAGTATTTCATTTTGATTCGTTTTACTCTATGCTTTTTATTTTTTTTAATGGGGTTATGCGAGTGTCATTTAAAGTTTCAAATAGTTTATATTATGATTTTTATAGTAAAAGCTACTTAAATATAAATATTAAAAAAAGTATTTACTAGATAGTATAGATATTATTAATAAATATTATTTTATTAATATTATTTAAGAAAAGCACTTAGAAAATTGTGCTAAAAACCCGGAAACTGTAAGTATTTAACTAAAACTTGTCACATCGAATGCTCTAAAATAAATTTTTTTCTTCATCGCTAAATCGAACCCAGTATTCACGCTAACCATTGCGATCTAACTATAAATATTTAACTAACATCATATAATAGAAAAGAAAGTACATCTCATCGTTCATCCTAAAAGCACACATTGCATCGATGTTAATCTTAATCCTACAACATTATTGCATTTCCTTGCCTAACCAAACAAACCGTAACGACACGCAGAACAATTCTTTTAACGAAACGTCAATGTTCACTACACGTAATATATCATTTTAAGTCGCATACAAAAGCTCGGATAAAAGCTTCACACGCGATCCGGACGCCGTCGCCAAACAAACAGAACTATCGTACGCTCATGAATAGACCCCCCCTAATAAATGTTAATTTCTATAAGCACGCATCTCAAGCGAAATATTAATCTGACCCGCTAATGGAAATCGGGTATAGAAGTACAAACAAGTTGTGTTTCTGGATCTCGCCCGAGGAGCAATATATTGCAAAGCTAAAGTGCATAGAAAGGGCGGGGTTACGGTTTAGGGGTTTGGGTGACTAAAAGGAAAAACCACTCGAGGTCGTGCGATACTGTGTCGCGGAACCAATGTGCATCGTTTGCATATTTGGGGAGATGTGAAATTGATAGGCTCTCGGTTCGATTGCATTGATTGGAAATTAAAAGCGCAATCTTTTAAAGTTTTTCACTGTGGATAAGGGTTGGAGATGGTGTTTTGTGACGGATTATATAAACGAGGGTTCATATAATGGTAACACGTTGCAAAATGTATGTCTCGTTATATTTTTAGTCGTGGTTATGTTAATTCGCGTTGTGCTGTACGCTAGTGCAGCATAAACGTTTCGAAGCATAAATCGGTAATAATAATTAAATTTAATTTGAAATATGATAACGCGTTATCAATATAGGTTCAAATTGAATAAACTACGCTAACAATTTGTATAGAAATTAACTTAATGAACACATTGAGCGTATTGCGCGAATAATACATTACGAAATCATCCATTCTCGCTTATCTCCCGCCGTTGTGGGCCTTTATTAGATTAATACTATGAAAATTAAAACAATTTGCCGGATAAATATCTTCGTGCAAGTATCAGTGGCATCCCTATTTATCCCTAGTGAAGGGCAAGCCGGATAACCCCTCTTAAAAGCTACGAGCAGTCAGCATTTAATGGAATAAAGCGAATGAAGTCGAGCGGTCTCGCCTCGCGCCCCCCGCGACTCTGAATTTCATTAGGCGCCCGAACCCTCTGCGCCCCAAAAAGCCACTTTACAACGGAAAACGGTATTATGATAATACTTAGAGCCTTATAAAATTTTGCTGAATAAACATTTGGGTGTAATTGTAAAATAACACCATTTTTTTTAAATCAAGGATAACCTTAGCTATAATTTCACGATCGTTATGCAAAGCGTATAATTTTTATTTTACGTCGTCGTCTAGCCGCGTCGATATTTTCCATCGACAGCATTCAGAAAAGGAATGCAAAAAATATCTACGGGCTAAATAGAAAGGACGAGAAGTGAGGTTGACCATTAATTGTGTGGGTCGCTCGCATTCCGCGGAGACGAGTGCGGAGCCGCGGGGTGCGTCGGAAAATGCGAAATAAATGCTCGGCTTAAATGCGAAAGGGATCGGCCATCGCCCGCGGCTGGGGAGTCGCGCCCTAAAGTGGTATTTTCACTTCGCTAATCGGATAACCACTTAACGAATGGGTCACTGCACGCCTAACGTATTTTCACACGACTTACCCAAAGGAAATCTGGAGATACCGCATCTTACTAGAGAAACTTATGTCCCCTGTGTGACGGTCACGTAGGTTTAATGCGAAACTTATCGATTTTGGGAGAGCACTTTAAGCTATTTTATTGACATCGCTTTAGATACGGTGCCGGCGATTGCGAGTAATGTCTCGATGTTTGTTCTCGTGTGTTGTTTGTATTCAGCTTATGAACAATCATTACAATTATCTTTACAGATGATGAAAGGAAGGGCGACGAGTTACTACAAGGGATGCATAGCCAGCTTCTCGGCTACGGGATAAAGGAGGAATCAAAACGCGGGACTTCAGACTGTGGAGTGCCGATACCGGCATCTAAGCCGAAGATTTGGTCGTTAGCAGACACGGCTGCCTGCAAGACCCCGCCTCCTGCAGCTCAACCCTGGCCTCAACATGGCTATGGACACGGTCCAGAGAGAGCGTCAGCTGCAGATGGTAGTTCTAACGGATTTGCATTACCGGCTACTGCAGCAGCGAGTCCAGCCAGTGGTTCTTACGGGAGATATGGAGGTTTCCCTGGAGGACAATACGGTGGGCAGCATCCCTGTGTACATCCGGCGGCATTCCCCGATGTGCAGACAGACACACCACCGCAAACGCCACCTAACATGAAAGTCCCGAGTGTGGCGAACCCGCTCGGTAGCGGTGGGGGCTCCGGCTACTGTTTCCCCCGACACCAACAGTCTCCGCAACGCGATCCTTACCACAACCCACACCACGCTAACAATCACCAGCCTAACCAACACCACGAAGGCTCTGCGGCCTTCAAACCATTTTATAAAAGGTAAATATACTTACATTTAGTAATTTTGTAAGCATTTTATTTATGGCATAATAATTTGTCACAGAATTCCAGATCATGTCCTTTGTTTTAGATAATTATTTATACGTCTAGTTTAGTAGCTTTATCATTTATTTGAATTTTAAAACAAAATCAAACGCATATATATACAAGCAGATCAAAACAGATAAAGCATAAAGGACTATTAATTGTCTCCAACGCAGACCATTAAAGTGACTTCTGATTGATTCAAATCGAGCTAAACTCATATGCAAACTAGCGAAATCGTAAATGGACGATCGTAGTAAAGATATCGATAGCGCCATAAACAGAGTTGCGGTTTGAGCCTGAGCTGAGTGTCATGTCGGTAATTGAAAACAATGGAGGCGCGTTGTGGCGGAAGGGAGAGGGAGATTGCAATCTTGTGTCATTTGTCAGTGTCAACGTGAACCACCACACTCCTCACACCTACGTGCTGACCTGCCTAAATGATAGCTTGTATCAAATCTAAGCTTTCAAGTTCTTTAAGTTGGCCCTATATAATTTTTCTTAAGATTCGGGTATTTTTGGAGCTCATAATCATTAAAATTCAGATTTAAGTAAGTCTTAGAGTTAAAATTCATAGCTTCAGTTACAAGAACTCCTGATTATTATTTTCATCAGGCTTTGCTATGTTCAAATCAAATTAATCAATATATAATTTCATCAAATCCAGATGGAGAAGCATAAATTAGTATCCCTGTGTCAGAACCTATAAAGCTTCCCATTGGGTTGTCTAGTGACATTTTTCTAAGAGTCGTCAAAGGATTTCTTAGAACACACCGCGGCTCGGCATTCTCGTCTCATTACAATAAATCGCAGAGTCGACGCCGCCGCACACGGAGGCACCGCCAAGAATTCTGTTTTAACCGAACACTCACAAATTCACATCTATTACCTTTTGTATTATTTTCGTTTTCACGCCTTTTTGCCCAGCGAATTCCTTGACGCGAAAATAACTCCTTATCGCGGCATTCTTTTAAGGAGCCCAAAAAGAATGGTCCGAAATCGACAGTCCTCGTTTTTGACTTAAATAACATACCTGTATCGTTTTTATTTATCCAAATAATATAGCTACCAAATGAAACCCTCTTAGTATCCAAATGGATGGTATTAGTGATAAAATAATAACTGAGTTATAAAACAGCAAGGTTTGTAAACGTTCAATGCACCACTAATATGGTGTAACGAGATAAAATCGTATTATAAAACCCTTAATATTGTCATTTCGAAAACAATGCATAGAATATGGTACTGTTTAATAGAAGCCGGAGTAATCCGGGCGCACCTAGTCCTAATACCTATGAATAATAAAACGAGGATTGTTCTAAAGGTAAAAAAAACGTTAATTTATGAATGCATCGTATTGTGCGCGGGCGCACGGCAGCCAGCCTCCTCTCCAGTTAACGTGCGTGGGCGCGAGCTCAATGGACCCTTTCATTCACTACACTACATCCACATTAAAACCGCTTTATTTTTTTACCATCCTCTAATCTCGCGTCTTATCTTTTGATCCTCGAGACCCTCTGTTTCATTGAGTTGCGACTCGTCCAACTTCTTTTTTCATTGACGCCGTATAGCTGGGATGACCTCGCCGACGGTCAAATTTTTATTTCTTTCACATTTTGGTTTTCCGGTCCGGACGATTCGTTAATAAATTCTCAGATAATGAGACTGAACGTTTCGTCACCTCATCTCGATTGGATTGGGCTTTTTTTATTTTTTGGCTGTTATGTGTGAACGCAGTGGAGGGCGAGCGATAGAATCGAATCTGGCCGGACCTTGTTTTTTCGGTAATTTAAATACCGCTATTCTTTTTAGGAGCCCCTCTGCTCGATTGTCATCCCATTCGGAAGTTATGGAAATTTGTAGCCTCTTGGAAGTTTTCAATAAATATAATATTTTTAATGTTTTTTTAATGTCTTACTTGTGAATTATGTTACAAATACAGTAATGTTATAGTTATTTTTTTATAAATGTATATTATAAATAAAACGTATGTGTCGAATTTTCTATCTAATATAACATTTTGTTTTCTTGCAGGTAAAGTAAGAGAAACCTGGGTCGCTGATCGCCGTAGGGTCTTCAAGCTATAACAGTGGCACAGTGTTTCCCATACGACCTACAAAACCATTAAAAACTCTGATCTATTCAAGAATTATTTAATTTCATTATTATATAGAATAATTTTTGTCGAAAGTTAAAGCACAGAATGTATGAAATGATTGGTTTGTACTTAATAATATATTTTTATTTCTGATCTTCGGATCGCTATGCTTAAATCAATGTACGGAAAGAATTTTGCTCAGTATTTTTATAGCTGTAAGGTTATTGTGGGAGCTAAAAATTATTTACGAAATATGCAATTATATGTAAAATTCAACTAGCCATCGGTTTTAGTGAAATACTGTAAATTATATTTTAATTTTAATATAAATTATAATGTTAGGGCCTAATGTTGAGTTCTTCCAAATAAATTAATAATGGGATCCAGTTTCATTATATAGTGCCCAGCATGGCTCTACCCCGCATCGATACGTTGGTTTGTTTGTTGTTGATGATTGTATATAGGTGGAGTTTTGTAGATTTTTCTATATTATATTTAGTTTCACATGAAGTGTACAAAATAATTATGACTGTCTAACCACTTCCATCGTTTCCTGAACGATTTATAAATATTGTTTAAAGTATTACTAGATAATCTGTAAATAAATTTATCATATATATATGTATGTAATAAATATATATTATTTTATTGATGCTATCACGTAAATGTACGGTATGATGTGAATATTTTGTCGATGTCGGTTTCCAGTCACGTGGGTATTGTAAGGCACATTTCAAATAGAATAAAAATTTATTTAAATAAGAGAATATAAAGCTTTCTTTCCATTGAATCACCAAACCTCCGCATTGTAAAGTCGATTAGTAAAAACTTGTTCGTTAGACCACGTAATATGTTTAGGTGGATAACTTATTTATTTTGCCAATATCATTTATAAAGCACTAATGAAGTAAGAAAAACCTATATATAAATATTTATAATATCTGTATGTTTATAGCTTAGACTAAAAGAATAATACACAGTAAAAGTAAACTCACATCCCTAACGCTGTTCCCAAACACTGTGCAAGAACCGTATCATATATGAATAAATATAATACGATTTTAGAAATAAGCTGAAGGCTCTGAACTGTTCTGAACGCTCCATACGTATTATTGTTTTAGTCTAAAACTTGCAGTTAATCGATGTTATGTTTCAAATCAATAATTAATCGATCTTGGCATAATATAATGGTCACCATATTTTTCTATTGAGGCTTGAATAGTCAGTTTCTTTAATTTTCAAGTGACCAAATCGAATACATTCGCTTAATAATAAAATTCTATATAAGTATTTATAGAATATGAACCTATTAATTATTATTATAAGTAAAATTATGTAACAATTGTAATTAAATCTTTATTTCAAAGCATTATAATTTATTTTATCCCCAATTAAGGTAAGTTGTGAGATATAAATTTATTCATCCTTTTTTAGGGTTCAGTACCCGAAGGGTTCAAACGGAACCCTATTACTAAACCTCCGTTGTCCGTCCGTCTGTCAGAGGGTTGTATCTCATGAACCGTAATATGTTGAGAGTTGAAATTTTCACAGAGTATGAATTTCTATTGCCGCTATAACAATTAAAAATAAAAATATATAAAAATAAAAATACAATAAACATTTTTTAACAGATTATCTAAGATAATATACTACATACATATAAGAAAAAGTCATATTGAAAAGTACATGTACAATGGTACGGAATTCTTCGTGTGCAAATTCAACTCGCACTTGACGGATTTTTTATATTACACTAAAAATATCGACAATATTACAGTTCAAACAAAATAAAAACACACAAACCCATTAATAAAAATCACTTTAGAGCAAATTCAATTCGAACTTCCTTTATTAACTATAAAGATTTAAAATCGAGATAATGGAGTGGAGATTTTAAGGAGTTTCGATGTTAAAAAATGCTTAAACAAAATGAGAAAAAAGTCGATAATGAACCAGTAAAAGTGCGAGGGTCGCTCCCTCTCGACAATACTTAGAAACTAATAAACAGGCCTACCACTTATAAAAAGGCCTCGAAAGGCTTAGTTAATTTAGATTAATTAGGGGTTCAATTAAAAGAGGGCAAGTATCGTTTTGGTAAACGCTGTGCATACACTTAATGATGAGATAAAGCTCACGGTGGTATAGATAGAAAACAGGTTTTGAAGATGTTTTAATTCTGAAAAGACGTCTTCTTATTGTAAGACGTGGCTTTGTTTAAAATTTACACCAAGCAGAATCGAACGTATGACTACGTTTAAATTCCATTTCAATTATTAAATAAAAAAGTTTAATATTAAATAAAGTTTTTTTTAGTTTGAATTAATTTTCATTTATTACCTTGTGGCTTTTTGAAAATTTGTAATATGGGAATAATTTAAAAGCTTACAAGTGTGTTGGTGCTTTTTTTTGGCAGCTACTGGACCATGGATGACCAACATATATGAACCTATGACATGATAAAATGGCGGAAATGACTCAGGTGTATGATTTCTGATTGTTTGTCATACAATATCTTCGCTAATTGTGATTTTGGTGATCTTTTTTTATGAATAAAAAGGTTAGCTTATAGGGAGGTCTCTATAAGTTTTTAGAATAAGTTCCACTTAAGGCTGGGAAAATACTTTAAAAAATAATTTAAAAGTCTGTGTACTATTTTAGTCAATATTAATTATGAAATATAATAGCAAAAGTGCATATAAATATCATTTTAATTCGAAATATTTTATTTAGTATTAAAGTAATAAAATATTTTACTGAACGTCATAAGTCTACGACCAGTTCGGAAAGAAAAAACCAGTCTTGAGAAGAAGTGGTGAAAGAAACTCGGTTATCATATTACTAACATAAAATAGTGGTCTAATATTTAATATGTTAGTAAAATAAAGATGGAATGATAGAAATATATAGGTGATGTCATGAAAATTTAGTTTTAAAGTATAATTTTATCAAACCGATCGAAAAATGTTCCTTATCCAACACTCACGAAATACTCAAACTCAACAGTCTGTAGTTTATAACTTCCCATGTTCTATACAAGAGACATGGACGTGTATTGCTAGAATACGGATAAACAAGGGTGAATTCTTTTTAGCCTGAAAAAAATATAAAAATGTATACTAGACCCAGCCCTGACATCTCTTGGATGCTTGAAAAATATATATATATATAAAGCCTACCACTTTTTTTGTTTGTTTAGTTTGATTATAGAGATAAATGAGTCAGTTAGTCAGTATGTAATTTATATATATATATATATATATATATATATATATATATATATATATATATATATATATATATATATATATATATATATATATAGAAGTCCTTACGTTTATGCTACCTACCACCAGCGTTACCTGCTAAGTTAAGTATGTGAATGGTTACCGGTTCGATATTCGTGGAACGACGTAACTTTAAGTGACAGAGTAATTTATACAAAACGTGACGAAAGGTATGCAGAATCTATAGCCTGGAGGGGAAAACGAAAAATATTTGTCACTAATGTTTTTGTGAATCCCAAGAATTGATATCTGAGTCACAATTATTTGTAAAATCTATGTAGAACAATATAAATAAATAACAAAATAAACTAATAAGTTATCTAGCATTCTTGGACAAAGTGATAATAGTCTTTTGATAGAGACAGATTACCCTTAAATCTTACAATGTTAAATGAGTAATTCTTGTATATATACATTTATTTCGTATATCTCGGAAACGGCTCTAACAATTCGGATCAAATTTTGAATATAATTTTATATATTTTCCAAAAAAAGCTTAGCGAAGCTCTTCAAGTACTTTCAAATTAATATATAAGTCTTTAACTCTAGATTAATCTAAATATAGGAAGCCATAAAAGCCAACAAAAACCATCCAGAGTCATAATAACTCAGAAATCACAGATTAAGTTAATCAAATAAGTAAATAGCAATTCCAGGACAATAAAACCAAATAATACCCATAAAATGGTCATAAACATTGATAGTACAAATATACGCTAATCTACGTAACCAATCGAGCTGTGCTGATTCTAATATTTTATAGTTCACCTTTACGATGCATCGTTAGTGATGGCGGTTATAAAATTGTGTACTGAAGTCTGTATCTAATTAGTTCACAATGAGAATAATGTGGCAAACGCCATGGCATGTTATGGTATAGAGGCATCGAAACTATGACGTCATTATGGGTTAAAACCTTATAGGCACACTGGACACTTAGGTAAGTTTTAATTTATTTGAGCGGAAATCTAATTCTTTTTCTAAAATAAAAGTAGCTTAAGTTACTCCTTATAATATTAGCTATTTGCCAGTGAAAGTCTCGTCAAAATTAGTCCAGCCGTTTCGGAGATTAGCCGGAACGAATAGACAGAGAGACAAAAATTAAAAAATATGTGTTTTTCTTATTAGTACCGTATAAACTTTCATATGCGTGTAGTATAAAGCTGTTATTATGACATTACAAACAGACATTTCAATTTTATTTATCAGTATAGAATTACAACATATTCTTCAATTTTTTCTGTATAATTTTTTTTTTAAATGTTTATATATTATAGCCAAGCATAGTTAATGTACGATGTAGAGTTATCATAATATTTTTAACTTAAGATTTATTTTACAAATCATTTTAAACAAAATTTGTGTTAAAGCAAAGATTTTCCCATTATTTTCTACAAATGATATTGTGTCATTTATTTCAATTGTCTCTTAGTTTAAAGTATAATAGCGAGTTCGCACCATCTTATTTATTTGCCGAGTAGCTGTAGTTAGCGAGCAGGTTAGTTTATCATCGTAACAAGTTTCGAATGACGGCCGCCAGATGCCGCAGCTAGTACCAACTTGATAGACTCGGTAAAAGCATTTGTTTCATACAAAATACTGTTTTATGGGAAAATTCATGGTTTTTGAAAGAACATAGTTCTATTTATGTTT